CAATGAATATATCTTACTTAGCCAAAGAAATACAAAGAGCTTCAGTCGAGAGTTTTGGAAATAATTTTTTAAGAGTTTTACAGCTTATCCATTCCACAGATAGTTCAGCCCATGGCTGATATTTTAAACATAATTATTCTAAACTGAAATCCCATAGACCCGAGATTCAGTTCAGAGATAACGATTAGAAAGAAAAGAAGAAACACTTATATTGAAATCAAACAAGAAAGATTACAACAAAGTATAAAATGGAGAAGATGGTTTGATGCTCGTGGGGAGTCTTAATGGATGATACAGAGTAAGGAAAAAGGGTTGTCACTTAACTACAGTTAAAACTATACAAAACTAAACTACGAACTAATACTAGGTGATCTCTTCTTTTAGGACTTCAATCCCTCCAGAATTCGATGATGTTTTTGTGTTTGGGACGTCCTATTTATAGGCAGAAGAGAGAGTGGCAGTCTTGTAAATCCTTTGGAGTTGGTTTCTTGAATGAAGGGACGGGGCGGTGGCAACAGTGTTTAGAAACTTGCAAATTGCTTGATGGGACAGTTTTTGTTGATGATTAGCCGTTTTTTTGCAGTCCCTCATGCCTTGTTTTCTTCCTAGCCAATGAGAACTCTTGATTCTCTGCTGTTCACGTTTCCTGCTGCTTAAGTGGTGCATCGCCTTGCTTTTTAGAAGACGTTGTTTTCACGTTTCCTGTAAAATGAGCAGAGTATTAAATGAAGGTAGCAGGTGTAATAAATGCTCTCAATCTGTTCCCCTTTTAATATGTTTTCAAAGAAATACGTCATCATACGTTCCCCCACTGTGTTTTTTTCACAAATGTGTAAAACAAGTGATTTTCATGTAAGTTGCTCATCATATGAGGGAACATATAGTATTTTGCCATCAAAATGGGCTTAGATGGAAACGAATTTACGTACCATCATGCACCCAATTAAAGAAGGAATAATGCGGGCTTTTCCGTTTCAAAATGGCTCAATCTCAGGATCTACGTCTAAATCATTACTTTTCCGTCAGTACCAATAATAACACAAAGATGAAATGTTAAATTTAAACTTAATTTACTATCTTACCACTGCTAATTGAGTCAACATGAAATGATGGCAAAACCGAGGAACACAGGTTTGCTGGGTTCGTGTCAGCGTCAAAATCACCCTCCACGTCAGTATCTGAGGTGTCACCTAGTGGAATAACACTCTCAGGTTCACCCTCCTCATCACTCTCTATATCCTCCTCCTGCTCATCCTCATCTATATCCCTCACTGTTATCTGACTTATGACAGGTACAGTGCAGATAAATCGACGACTCTGTCTTCTTGACCAAAATATTATGGACTTCTTGTATGCATGGGTGCAGATAAAGATTGACCACAATCAATTTCTACATATATCTCGAATTTTTTTTGAAATTTTCGGTCAATAATTGCATCTATGACATATTCCACGTCTTCGTCATCACATATATCGTTCCTAATGTAGTATATAACATCCTTACCAACTGTAGACTCTACCCTGACTATCATTCGCTGAATGCATTGGTTGCATTGTAGCCCCAATTTTTGGTGAATTCTCCCTTTGAGCTCGTTGTATGTAGTGTCTCATTTGATTTGCAACATTTTCATTTTTTCTTCAAATTGAACACCATTGAGACCTTCATAATGCCTTCCAGCGTGGTAGATCACTGTAACATACATATTTGGACTTGAGCTCATCTTTCACACGAATTTGGGATTAGGGTTCGGATTTTGGGGGTTTGGGTTCGGATTTTCTCAACAACAAAGGAATATATAAGTGCAATGACAATGATTTCACAAGATTAAGGCTTTAGAGATGGTGTGATGAAATAGACTCTTGATAGTTTGGATTACATATGACAAACAAGAGAGATTTTGGTGTAAAAAATGAGTATAGTTGAAATGAGACGGAGAAATGTAAATATAGGATTTCTAGGGTGATTTAATCGATTAAGGGAGAGATTTAATCGATTAAATACTCGATATTTAATCGATTAAATCTCGGGTCAATCCTTTTTACGTGTTTTGACCATTTAACCGATTAAATATTGTATTTAATCGATTAAAGAGGACAAGTTGGTGGATAATTTTGGATAAAGGGAAAAATAATTATTAATTAATTAATAAGGAGCAAAATGATCAAAAAGCCGATGTGCTGAATTACCTATTGAATTTTGTATATTTCAGAAATTTTCCACATATATTAGCTGCTACCTACCATGATCTTATGCGAATGAATCAATTATTTCATCAAATTGTTAATTTCTTTATATATATATATATATATTAATATTATTTTACACTAATTTAAATTATACTTTTAATTTTGATAATTCATTTTATTTATATCTAACATTTCATTTATTATATAAAACTTTTTGTTCTTACACGTGTGCACTATATATATTCGCTATTAAATTGCTGGCATATCAAATAAAGTGACCAGAAAAAAGCTTCTATTATATGAAACGAATAAAGATATATAAGTTTTTAATAAATTAAAATTATGATATATTTTAAAATTAAATTTGAAATATATAAACATTTAGCAGCCTAGCTGATACAATTAAAAAAAAAAAAAAAAAACAGCCTCGCCAAGTCGCCATGATAATCTCTGTGTTTTGTAGAACTATTATAAGATGGGATATCATCTTCTCTTTCAACAGCAAAAATGAAATCTTCCCTTGCTGAGACAAAATTGTAGCGGACTCCACTTAAAAAACAAAATCAAAAAACAAATGGATCAGCATGATTTTTGAAGGGTTAGGAGGAGGTTCTTTTCTTCTCCAATTGCTGCAGCAGACATATAAAACCCTTATAAGATATCGTGAATGCATCCGTCGTCATCGTTGCTCCCGACTAACATTTTGTTAAGATATATAAAATTATTAATGTAGCCTTACCCAATAGCTTAAGATTACATTAATAGTTTTATATATATCAACACGCTTCCTCACACGAAAACACACATTTCTTGAAGAGTGCATGATGCAACAGACCCAGTCTCGCCTCCTGTGCTAAAAAATTCCACAAGAGAAAGTGGGGAACGGCGAGGTTTGAATCCGGGACACGAGGCTCTGATACCATGTAAAGAACCAATTCAACCCAATAGCCTAAGCTATTGGGTAAAGCTACATTGATGAAATATATAGTCCCACATTAATTGTGTGGGCAACTAATGTGACGTTTATAAGACCTTAAATACTCTCACTCTTTGAGCTAACTTTTAAGATGTTGTATCCCAAGATTCTTTACCATCTTAGTTTTTGGATTTATACGAAAATTTAAGAATAATCTTAAAAGCTTTTCCCTGAAAATCACAAGTGATTGGGCTTTTGACTTGAGATGCGGTGTTGTCACCTGCGCGTTTAAGATGCGGCAGATACAACTACGCTTTTGGGAGAGCACGTCAGAGCCATGACACGTAATACCATTTGATTGGTGCACGACTAAATGCACATGCACCTTAAACACATCTGTAAATATTATTAATTTTACCGCTTTAGTTTGTTGGTGCACGTGAGAGCCATGGCACGTAATATCATTTGGAAGCTGGAATTTAAAGTTACTATAAAAGAATATAATATTAATAAATAAAATTATAAATTTTTTTAAAAGGAATTTCACCCTTTTTTCGACAAGATGAGACAGTTTTTTTTATTAATAAAAATGCATAACTCGCAAATTTTTAAACTCGACCAGTTTAAACCAATTTTCACCGAATTTAATATATAGACAATTCAATACTTAACTCGAACTGATACAATAATCAATTCATCAGATTATCGACTCAATCGGTTGGAACCGAATCTGATAACACTTATAGGAAGGAAATCAGTCATTGGTTTTGGCGCTTGCTAATGAGCCTTCGCTGAAATGTCATCTATATCCTACGACACTGTGACCTGTGCGTATGTACTATGTTCCAACTTTAGAATGGGACAAATTTGTGCAGCACGCGCGTGACTTCATGAAGATTTTTATGTAAGATTCATTGCATAAAGCTGATCTGAACTGTCGGGCAAATTATTCAAAATTATCTTCTTCTTCTTTTTCTTTTTTTTCTTCTAGGTTAGAGGTGGACCACAATGTCACTTGTATCTTGGCTGCTTGGCCGATTGGGGAAAAGGGTATCTTTGGCTTCTTGCTCATTTCAGAGAAGGTGGAAAAATATGTTACAAGCAAAGAAAAATCTTCGAGAGAAGTTTCAAACTTTTTTCAAATAAGATGAGATAGTTTATTTATTTATTTATTTATTTATAAAATGCATTACCCACCGGTTCCTTCAATCCTTCTAGCTCAAGTACTATAAAAAAATATTAATTTTTAATGAATATTCTAACAATTCTGTATCTAAAAAACCAAAAAAGATCACATCACAATGATCTGAAAAATAATAAATCATAAAGTAGATATGAATGAAGTGTTAGGCAAATTAGTCAGAATTGTCTGGCTGAGGCCAGAGGGCACTCCCTGTACTCATGTGACCTTTGACTAAAACATATAACATGTATTGTCCGATACTTCAACATTTTCGATATTCTATCACGTGTTACAGAGATTTAAAAAAAATTCAAAAATTGTATTGTGCTATGTTATTAAATTTATTAAATTACTATTATTATTTTATTGAGTTTATAAATGTTTGAAATATTTATTTTATAAAATTGATTAGTATTGTAAGTTTAGTTTTAAATATAATATATATTATATAAATTAAAAATATTATTTAATATCAAAACATATTTTAACGTGTCAAAATATAATATTTTTTACAATTAATATATTGTCATATCATGTCGTATGGAATCCAATATAGATATCACTGCAAGATAGATTAGAACTACATTTTTTTTTTTTTTAAAACAAAGATTAGAACTACATTTAATATTAGCTAGTCTCTTTTATACTAGATTAGAACTACATTTAATATAGTATAAAAGACACTAGCTAAGATTCGAGGGCAATAACAGAGTCATGGACAACCTTACACTTCTGTTAATTTCCTTGGTATTGTTGGCAAGCATTCATGTCCTAATCTCCATCTTTGGAAGAAAAAGCACCAAATCTCACAAACAAGCCCCCGGGCCTCGCCCTTTTCCAATAATTGGAAACATTTTGGAACTTGGCAACAAACCTCACGAAGCACTTGCTAAGCTTTCTCAAACCTATGGACCTATAATGAGTCTCAAGTTAGGGAACATAACCACCATAGTTATTTCCTCTCCCCAAATAGCCAAAGAAGTATTGCATAAACATGATCAAATCTTCGCTAATAGGACAGTCCCAGATACTCTCCAAGCACATGATCACCACATACTCTCGGTGGTATGGATGCCTCCTTCATCTCAGTGGAGGACCCTTAGAAGAGTTTGTGCTACCAAAGTTTTTTCTTCCGAGAAACTTGATTCTACACAATTTCTTCGTCAAAGGAAGGTGCAAGATTTAATGGATCATGTCAAGGAAAGCTGCAAAAAAGGTGAGGCTTTGGATATTGGTGAAGCTTCCTTTGTAACCGTGCTAAATTCCATATCAAACACTTTCTTCTCTATGGATTTGGCTCATTTCACTTCTGATAAGTCTCAAGAGTTCAAGGATATCATTTGGGGTATCATGGAAGAAGCTGGAAGGCCTAACGTTGTGGACTTTTTCCCAATCTTTCGGCTGCTTGATCCACAAGGTGCAAGTACAAGAATGAAGAATTATTTTGGAGAGTTAATTGCGTTTTTTGATGGTCTTATAGAAGAAAGATTGCGCTTAAGAGCTTCAGAAAATGAATCCAAGGCGTGCAATGATGTGTTAGATTCTCTGTTGGAAGTCATGCAAGAAGAGAATTCGCAAGTGAGCCGCCCTCATGTATTGCATTTATTCCTGGTGAGTATCTTTGCTACCAATGTTATTTAATTTCCCTTGATTATTTGGATGATTGAATAAAAACTTCATTATTTATTATTATTTTTCTTTAAAGGAACACAACTTCTTACTTAATGGTATAAATACTAGGGCAATATTACTCTTATGTAATAGGAATTTTTTTTTTATCTTATGTCCATACATCGATACTTGTGTCAATTATTTTTTATTTTTTTTATTTTTTTTTCTATTGGGCCCCACTTTAAATTGAGTGTGTAGGAGATAACAAAATTTTTATGTGACATAAGACTACAATTACCCATAAATATTTCATCATATATGGCTTATCTAATCATGCACTACAAATATCTCATTTTGAGTTGAGAATATGTTAGCCGATTCAAACCACGATAACCTAACCGAAAAATCGATAACCAAAAATTAAAAAACCAAAAACTAAAAAAAAAATCATATATTTTAGATTAGATTGATTTTCGATTTGGTTGGTGAAAATTGATCCAATCCAAACGATCTAATATATTATGTATTTATTATTTTCGAAAGATGCTGACTTGGAATCTTGTTGTTTTGTAAACTTAAAATCTTGGATGTTATTAATAACAAACTATCTTGTTTTAATTTTTTATTATCTATTAATTTTTTTTAACTCTTCGTGAGTTTTAATACTTATTTTAGTTTGAAGACTTAAATTTTATAGTGGTTTGTAACTTTGAATAGTTTTATTTTGATATAGTTAGTGATTTGTATGACTTAAATTTTAGGTTTTTCAAAAAATCGAAAACCGATCCAATTTAAATCGAATAAAATTCAAACCAAATAGATGATTAAATGGTCAGATGATTTTTATTTCAAAATTGATCATCCAATCCACATCTCAAACTCCCCTAATTTAGATCCAGTATCCGAATTCATTTATTGGAGTGAGTTTGTCTTTAATCATTTGATGATAGTTCTCTCCTGTTTATCAAACAGTAGTATCAAAGTTAATAATTGACTGACCTATTTGAATTGAGTATTTAAATTATAGCGGTTAGCGTTCGCTATCCAAGCCCACTTTAGCTCATTTGAAAAAATCTCTTTATTATGGGATTTCCAGTTACCCATCATTATTATTATTTTTCTTTAAAGGAACACAATTTCTTACTAAATCGTATCAATATTTTTTTTTTATTTTTGGAAAACAATCGTATCGATATTTCATCTTGTATGACTTATCTAATTGATCGTATCAGGATTTATTTGTCGCTGGAATAGACACAACATCAAGCACAATAGAATGGGCGATGACAGAGTTGTTACGTAACCCAGAAAAACTAGATAAAGTTACAAAAGAGCTTCAACAGGTACTTGTCAAAGGTGAACAGCTTGAAGAATCAAATATCTCAAAGCTTCCTTTCCTACGAGCAGTGGTGAAGGAAACTCTCCGCTTGCATCCACCCATCCCATTTTTAGTGCCACACAAATCAGAAGTTGATGTTGAACTATGTGGATACATGGTGCCTAAAAGTGCACAAATTCTGGTTAATGTGTGGGCCATGGGAAGAGATTCAAGTATTTGGACAAACCCAAATGAATTTATGCCTGAAAGATTCTTAAAGAGTGAGATTGATTTTAAAGGTCAATATTTAGAGTTGATTCCATTTGGAGCAGGGAGAAGGATATGTCCGGGATTGCCATTGGCTTCTAGGACTGTGCACATTGTGTTGGCCTCTCTTCTATATAGCTATGGTTGGAAGCTCGCGGATGGTGTAAAGGCAGAGGAAATGGATATGTCTGAGAAATATGGGATTACCTTGCATAAGACTAAACCTCTCCAAGTCATTCCCATCCAAACATAAATTATGTTTAATAATGAGAAAGATATCGTGCTGTTTTTATACTTGGAGCATATGTATTCTCTTCAATAATGACATGATAATTATTAAATTATAGAGTAAACACCATTTTTAGTCCCTGGCAATATCTACGAAGTCCTTTTCAGTCCCTGGCAATAAAAAAAGACCAAATTGGTCCCTGAAAGTACAAGAAAAGGGCCACTCTACATATTTGGGAGTTGACATAAGGACTAACATGACCCTTTTTTTGTAATTTCAGGGACCAATTTGGTCTTTTTTTTATTCTCAGGGACTAAAAAGGACTTCGTAGATATTGACAGGGACTAAAAATGGTGTTTACTCTAAATTATAAATGTATTGAATTTCATTTCTCTGCATAATAAGTAATGTGATTGAAGATAATATTCAATCGTTAGAGTTGTTTTAGTCTTTTAGATTCTCTTCCAAACTTTATCAATTGCAATTTTTTTTATTCATCATTATAATTCTTGTCTAATATAGTTTTAAAAACAGGGCTATTTGGTATAAAAAATATGGAATACGAATACGATCCGTTTACAAATTTTTTTTGCAAATTACACTGATGTGCGTCTAGCATATGATGTTTTCTAACTTGAAAGAAGCAAGGAATTAATCATAAATGAGTGAAAATAGTCATTGAATGCAAGAAATATTGATTATTCTTTCTCAATCATGTTCTCACTCAAGTTATATGTTTAAATAGCAGGAAACACCGCAAAAGGAGCAAAAACGGAGAAACCAAATTTCCCGCTGGCGCACGACGCGCGGAGGTTGGCGCACGGAGCGCCAAACTGGCGCACAGGGCGCGGTACTTGGCGCACGGGGCGCCAAATCGACGATTTGCTTCTGTTTCGGTCGCGCACGAAGCGCGGGAGGTGGCGCACGACGCTCCAACCTGGCGCCCGGAGCGCGGGAGTTGGCGCACGGAGCGCGGGACTGGCGCACGACACTCCAGAGTTGGCGCCCGGGGCGCCGTTTACAGATTCAGCTTCTGTTTCTCCCAAGTTTGGGGCGCCAGGCTTGGCGCCCCGTGCGCGGGCGATATATTTTTAAGTGTGAATCAGCTAAAATAAGGCCCAATTGGAGTGCTAAGGGAAATAGGTTTTCCCAAAACCTAATAAAAGGATCAGAAACATAAGAAGGAGGGACTTTTGGAGAATCAAGGAGAGAAAAACAACAAATAGAGCAGAGATTCCTTGGAGCTTCTCGGAGATTCAAGGGTTCGATCGATCAAGACGGAAGATCTTCATCTTCCCTTTCTCTTCTAGGTTTTAAATACTACTTTCTTTTATTGTTATTTTGTCAGACATGAACATGTCTGGCTAGTTTTATCATTGTGGTAAGGGTCACAACCCTTGATGTGAACCCCTTGTACCTTGGTTGAAATTTATGATTATCTATTTTAATTGCATTTATCTTTTCTTGTTCTTCATTCTATAATTCTATTGGAACTGATCAATCTAGTAGGGTTGCGAGGGTTAGGGTTTACAATAGGGATGTTGGAATTCTAATTCCTGACAAAGAATAAGATAATTGTTCATGTACGCACTAGGGATAGGCTACATGAACAGCGAACGTTAAAGGTTCATTGATTCTAAGGGTTAACTCGAAAAGGGATTTCTAAGGGATTAGGATTCTAATAGAGTTAACAAGGTTAAAGTCACTAAGGGATTAGGGCTTAACTACTCATATAAAAGATGATGAATTGTTCGATCAATTGAATAGGTAAATGTAAACGTAATCCAAGTTGCAAGGTGGGGATCGGAAAGGTGTTTGTTTCTCTTTACCGCAATATTTTCTCAAATATTTTCCTAATCCTTAATCTTTTGTTCTTGCATTCTGAAAACACTTTTGGAATCATTTACATTTTTACTTTAATTATTTTAGTTTGTTTCATGAACTACAATCATTATCAACCTATTTTGATTAATCCAACAAGAGAGGAATAGTTATAACAACTTAGGTGCCTCAATCCTCGTGGAGACGATACTCTACTCACTCTTTATTATTTGGTACGATCGGTGCACTTGCCGATTTTACACATCATACACTAAGTACGACCGGTCGTACACTGCATGATTAAAGTATGACTGGTCGTACTTAATATAGTTTGTAAGAGTTTGTAAATATAACCTGTTCAAAAAATATAATTTAAAAAGAGAGCAGATTAATTGGTATAAAAAATTTAAAAGTAAGGATAAAATGGTCAATCAGCCCAAGCATACCGCTTCTCCAAATCAGTTGAAATTGCTAAATTATGAAGGATTTTATTACGTCATTCATGTAGGTGGGGAGACAAGAAATTTTATAAAGAGAGTTCAAGATATTAATATAAAATTGTTAATGTGGTCATTGTCCCTGATCTTCAATAAAATTAAAAAGCGAGTTAAAATCAACACAAGTCAAATTCAAAAGCTTCTGTGTGAGAGGGAATGTATTAGAGATATTAATATAAATTTATTAATATAATAATCACTTGCACACCTTTAAGGATGGAATCGCCTATCTCAAAGCCTATCGTATCACTTCATCCTACTTTTATGTGGCCAACGGTTCACAACTATTTCACACTTCACTCTGTTGACACTTTGCCCCACCAGTCTTTTCAAGATAGGGTTGGCAAAACGAGCCAACCCGGCTCGACCTGGCTCAACTCGTATTCAACCCGTAAAAAACGGGTCGGATTAGGGTTGGCCCGAAAAAATAAACGAGTCAGAAAACCAAACCCAGCCCGACCCGAGCCGGGTTAGGGTTGGCTCGCGGGTTGGCTCGGAATGATGTCAGTGGGTTGGTTAGCTCAAAATATTGGCTCGCGGGTTGGCTAAAAAAATTGATTTTTGTGGAACTAGTCTTATTTGTTCTCCAACACTGCTAAAATTATCAACACTGCCAAAAGGTTCCAACTTTGATCTCTTCAAAGGTACCCAGATTGAAAAAAGAAAAAAGATTGAAGTAACAAATCTTATAATATCAACAACATAGAAGAAGAACAATGAATCCATTTTCATATATATATTGGGGGAAAATAAAAAAGAAAGATGAGAAATATAAGGAAAAGGGTATTGCACCTTGGGAGTAGTGAATTGCGTTTGTCAAGAGAATAGGCCAATAGACCCAAAGATGCAAGGTTAATGGTAACAAGGTGAACAAGCTATCCAGGGGGCAGAAGAATCTTAGGGTTAAGGAAAGTGACGAGAGACGACGATGTGAGCGTATGGCAGTTTTGGAGTTTTCATATTATTTTTTATTTTATTTTTTTTAATACAGTCATATTATTATTATTTTTTGATTAAAAAAAATACCCAATCCGTGAGCTGGCGCGTTTGACCCGCGGGCTGGCTCGTTTGGGTCTGGGTTGTATCGGGTCGGGTTGAGTCGGGTTGGCAGCTCATTTAGGCCAACCCAACCCGACTCATTTAGGACGGGTTGGCTCGTTTTTGCCATCCCTACTTCAAGGTACAGGCATTGAACCTTGACATTTTTATGGGGAGAACATCTTCAGTATCACCGTTGTATCAAGTAGTGGATATGACTCCTATTCAAAATAAAATTTCACTTACCTATTTTTTGAAATACATAGATATAATATTCAAGTAATTTTTTTTCTCTCTCTTAAAGAAATATGTCAGCACAGATGTTATGCTTTATTGGTGGGATGTAGGTAATACGGTAGTGTCAACCATAAATTGGGCGTGGTATTGTGTAATAAATGTGTAATTATTTTCAAAACAACCATAAATTCATAATTTTTTATTTAAAAAACAATAAATTAATTTATGAGATATATACATTTTCACTTAAAGTACCTAATATGTATCCTACTACCAGATATCATGTCAACCTGCCAAACCAATTAATCAACAACCAAATTGCAATTAAGCCAACAATTAGAGTCAAGGGCAAGAAATTTCTAAATAAAAATATACGTTCCTATTGAAGTATCTACAAACAAGTAACTACAAAGAAGCATTAACAAAGAAAAGAAGAAATGCGCAAAACCTCAAAAGTAAAGGTAACACTAAAGTAATTAAACATGCAGCAGTATCAATGAGAAAATGTTTACATTTTAATTTAAAAATATTATAGTAATGAGAAATTATGCAATAAAGATATTTGGATAGCATTTTGTGACTATCATTATAATTGTCATCTTAACAAAAAAAAAGGAAACCACACACATAGAGGCACACAAAGACAAATTGGAGATCTAAGAAAAGATTAGTTTTTTTGTTTGTCCCTTGTTTGCTCAGTAAACTTCAAGGAAATAGAGCGAGAGAATCATTTCTAGTAATGTTGTCTATTAGAAAGAATATCTTTCTTATTTGTAATTTTTTTTTTCTTATTTCATTAGAATTTGGGTTAAGTTTGGATTAAGCTCATTAGTGTTTCTATATATTGTACACTCTTGTCTTGTATCAATTCAATGTACAGATTCATTGTAATGTTCCTTTTGTCTCTTGTTAACCTTGATCCGTTTTTTTTCCCTTTTCTGGTGAACCCATTGTATGTCGGATTTTCAAAAAAAAATCTGAATATTGTCTTCTAGTCAGTTTCCTGATACCTCTCTTTCTTGGATCGTCTCTGCGTCTCTTCGCGAGCGTCAATTGGAAACGCCGTTGACTGTCGTTCCTCTTCTATTGACCACAGTTTTTTGATGACTTTTCCAGGTGTGCCATATATTGTTCTAATCACCTTCTCTGCGCGATCCTGTCCATCCAAGTATTGTCTCCTTACACTCACGGACGCGCCCTTACGCACGTGAAGGACATTTTTCAGCGATGACCGGTTGCATTCTTCTCCTCTCTCTGAGATGGTTCTGGATCTGGTTCTATTTTGGTGTTTCGACATCGTTTTTGGTGACACACGGATCCCTCTTCTTCCGATTAGTTTTGTTATCTTGCGGAGGAAGTTTATACGGAGAAATCTCTTGGATTTGTTCCTCAAGGGGAGTCAAGTCTTGTTTGTCATCTCTGCAAGTCTATATATGGTCTCAAGTAATCTCCAAGAACTTGGTTTGGCAAATTTAGCAGTGTTGTTCAATAATTTGGTATGACTCGGAGTGAAGCTGGCCATTCTCTCTTTTATCATTATTCAGCTTTCGGGTCTATCTACTTGGTGGTATATGTGGATGATATTGTCATCACAGGTAGTGATAATCATGAGATTACTCAGTTGAAGCAGCATTTATGTTATCATTTTCAGACCAAGGATCTTGGAAAACTTTGATATTTTTTGGGAATCTAGGTGGCCCAATCTAAAGATGAAGTTATGATATCTCAGAGGAAATAAGCTCTGAATATTCTTGAAGAGACTACTTTGTTAAATTCTAAGTTTGTTGATACCCTTATGGATCTATGTGTCAAGCTTCTACCAAATCAGGGGGAGACCTTTTCAGATCCTGAGAGTTATAGAAGACTGGTTGGAAAACTGAACTACCTCACAGTCACTCAACCTAACATTTCATTTGCAGTTAGTGAGGTAAATCAGTTTCTTAATTCTCAATGTCAAGAACACTGGAATGCTATCATTCATATTCTTAAGTATATCAAGGCATCTCCAGGAAAATGCCTTGAATATGAAGATAAAGGTCATGTTAAAGTTGTTGGATACTCTGACGTTGATTGGACCGGTTGTCCTACTAATAGGAGATCTACTACTAGATATTGTGTCTTCGTTGGAGACAACTGGGTTTCCTAGAAAAGTAAGAAGCAGAATGTAGTTGTCACCTCGATTTGGCTTAAGCAACTACTATATGGCTACTACTACTTGGGAGCTCATTTGGCTTAAGCAACTTCTTAGAGAGCTCAAGTTTGGAAATACTAGATCAGCAACTCTCATTTGTGATAATCAATCAGCACTACATATTTCTTCCAATCCGGTGTTTCATGAAAGAACCAAGCATATCGAAATAGATTGTCAATTTGTTCGAGAGAAGGTCCTTTCTAGTGAAATTATAACTAGGTTTGTACTCTCTAATGATCAGTTAGCATATATATTTACAAAGTCTTTGAAGGGTCCTTGAATAGAGTTTATCTGTAACAAGCTTTGTGCTTATGATCTATACGTTCCAGCTTGAGGGGGACTGTTAGAAAGAAAATCTTTATTACTTGTAAATATCTTTTTCCTTATTTCATTAGGATTTGGATTAGGTCTGGGCTAAGCCCATTAGTGTTTCTATATATTGTACACTCCTGTATCAATTCAATGTATAGATTCATTGTAATGTTCCTTTCGTCTCTTGTTATTGAACATTATGAAAATTGAGTTCTTACATAAAAATAGAAGGGAATAATAGAAACGTAAATAGTACAAATGACACGAAACGTAAAGTTTCTATTACTTAAGGCCAAGATACAGTATTATATATATATATATATGGGATTTCAATCCGTCATGTTGCAGGAAAGAAATTTGGTCCTGCAAAAAAATATTATATGTACTCTGGGTAATACATAGTTATAATATTAAAAGCTATTTTTTTTCTCTCTCCTCGGAAGGCTGTCGGCTGATGTGGCAGAGAGAAAAAAAAATAACTTTAATATTGTAACTATGTATTACCCGTAATACATAGTTATAATCTGTAACATAACCAAATTTTTTTCGTACAATATGATTCTTATTTCTCTCTCTCTCTCTCTCTATATATATATATATATATATATATATATATATATATATATATATATATATATATGCATGTAAAAAAATCACATAAGTCATTACTCAAATTTCAATGAGCAACTTCATATTTAAAATAAGTCACATAGCTATGCCTATATAAGACATAAGTTCAAAAAGAGTTTAACAACTCCTACAACAAAGTTCTAAAATATCAAAAGAATAAAGTTTAGCAACAAAATTATCTCAATTGATTCAAATCAAATAAAACATCATGATATTTGTATGAAATGAGATTATAACTAAAAATTGATTCTTCATTATTTAGTCATTGATATTTTCATAAAAATATTAATAGAATTTTATTTCTGATTTAAAATAATTAAAATAATACTTTTACTTAAAAATGATAAACAAAAAAGGTCATCAAAAAATGGTTGTCCACATTGAAGAAAAAATAGTTTTTCTAAGAAGTCCCACATTGCTCACTTCTCATTCCTTCCTCCTTATTTTTAAATAAATAAAATGTACATAGTATATATTTTTTATGGAAAATATAATTTTATTTAAAATATCAACCATAATAAATTACCTTCATATTTATATGAAATGAGATTATAACTAAAAATTAATTCTTAATTATTTAATCAGTGATATTTTCATAAGAATATTAATTGAATTTTATTTGTAATTTAAAATAATTAAATTAATATTTTTATTTAAAAGTGATAAATAATAAAGGAGCAGTTGCATGTCCTCAATGTCCTCAATGTCCTTTTCTCTTGCTCAGTTCATTTACAAAACTTGGAATGTCAAAATCATGACCATCATGGATTAAAAGTTGACCCAGTTCAGCTTTTAGGTCTAAGCGAAGAAATAAAAACTTCATTGATAAAGCAAGGAAGAGGAGAAGGTTTAGAGAAAGCAATTATTTTGGTGGATGAGGAGAAGACTCGGACCTCAAGCAGACAGAAAAGGCAAGGATCCAATGATAGAGTTAGGCTTGTGGAAACTCAAAATGCTTTCAATCTTTTTTAGGACGATATTATGAGTCAAGACAAGGAAGAGGAGATAAGTTTGATTGATTAAAAGGAAATTTTCAAAAGGATTCAAAACGCAGTGCATGTGCGTTTAAATCCAACTTTTGATGGAACTAGGGAATATGCTAGTTTAGGCCAGTTGATGGTGGAAGATACAAAAATAAGTTTGACAGGTACTGCGTCAGATATGCATGTATAACACGTTAAACAGGACTCGGATGGTAGGGGTAGAGTGCAACATTTGAAACCTCTTGATACAAAAAATAGGGGGCATAAAGAAAGCAATGCCAAGTCGAGAGCCATAGTCTCCCAACGTGGAGTAGGAAGGAATTTAACTGGTCGGTTGTCTGAGGTGCAATCTCAGCCTGGATCTTCCAATAAAGGTATTTAATGTCTTTACTTTTTTGGAATTGTAGAGGTGCGGCCAAACCTTCACTTGGTCGAATTCTAAGGATGTTAGTAGATACACATGATATCTGTATGGTGATTTTATTAGAAACTCGTACTGGTAGTGTGAACAGTAAAAGGCTAATGAAGAAACTTCAGTTGAATTCTTCTGTCTTTGAGAAGGCTAATGGTTTTTCGGGTGGTATTTGGGTGTTGAGTAACGTAAAAAGGCAAGAGTGCAGCTTTTGTCTCAGTCGAATCAGTTTATTCATATGACTGTGAAGATTGATGATGGTCCTAGTTTTCTTTGCACGGTTGTTTATGGCAGTCCTAGAGAAGACGAAAGGCATGTTATGTGGGATGACGTTAAGCAATTGAGTCTCAATGTTAACCTTCCTTGGATTTTAGCTGGTGACTTTAATGACATAAAATGCATGGGGGAGAAGAAGGGAGGTTCTCAACCTGATTCGAATAAATGTGATAGGTTTGCAGGTTTCTTAAATGATTGTCATGTGGATGATCTTATCAGCTCTGGTTTTGAATTTACTTGGCAAGGCCCAAAGTGGAACCATTTGCAAAGAGTTTAAAAAAAGTTAGATAGAGCAGTTGTTAATGTGAACTGGAGAATCTGCTTTGAAGATGTTCAAGTCTGAATTCTTCCAAGGCATCATTCCGATCATAGTCCCCTTCTTGTGAAATTCTCCAATCGTCCCAATCTTTGGCAAGATAGACCGTTTCGGTTTATTGCTTCTTGGTTAGACCATCCCAACTTCAACGATCTGATGCAGGATAAGTGGAATAAGAATGTTGATTTTAATCAGATGCTCAATAGATTTGTTCCAATTCTTAAAAAGTGGAATAAGGAGGTGTATGGAAACATAGGTAGAAGGGAGAACAGTTTGGTTAATGATATTGCCTCTGTCCAATTAAAGAGGTCTGTTGCGGATAGTCCGAATCTTCATGAACTGGAAATCAGTTTGCAAATTAGTCTTGATCATGTGCTGGAGGAGGAAGAATTGTTGTGGTTTCAAAAATCCAGACATAATTGGATTATGGATGGAGATAAAAATACGAAGTTTTATCACTTGCGGACGGTTATTAGAAGAAGCAGTAACAAAATTTCAAGGTTGCGTTGTGAAACCAACCAATGGATTGAAAATGTGAATGAGTTAAAGGATCATGTCTGCAGTTTTTATAAAACTTTGTTTACAGAAGATATCGAAGAGCGAAGATGGCTCGCGTCTGCCAACCACTGGACATCACTGTCTAACGCTCTAAAGGATGATTTGATCAAAGTTACTAGTATGGCTGAGGTCACTAAGTTATTGAATGGCATGAATGCGTTTAAAGCGTCGGGTCTAGATGGCTTCCCTGCAATTTTCTTCCAAAAACAATGGAATCTTGTGAAGGATCAGGTTTATAATGCTGTTATTGATATGTGGTCAAATCCGGATCGGGTGGAGGAGTTTAATAATACCCTTCTCGTTTTGATTCCGAAAGTTAAGAGGCCAGACTGTATCTCTCAGTTCAGGCCTATTTCCCTTTTCCCTGTTTTATATAAGATTCTGTCAAGGGTGATTGTTCATCGGTTGAAACCAGTTATGGATAAACTGATCTCTCCATCTCAGGTTAGCTTTGTTCCGGGAAGACAAATTCAAGATAACATTGTGATTGTCCAGGAGCTTATTCACTCAATGCATAAAATGAAAGGTAGGAAAGCTTTTATTGCAGTGAAGATAGACTTAGTCAAAGCTTATGATCGGGTTTCCTGGAATTTTTTACGTAGAACTTTGGAGGAGATTCAGTTTCCCATGTCGTTCAATAACCTTATCATGCAGTGTGTTCAAACCTCCAAGATCAATGCTTGTGGAATGGTGGTAAAACTGAGGATTTTAGGCCTTCACGTGGTATTCGGCAGGGTGATCCTCTATCACCATATCTTTTTGTTATTGCACTGGAAAAGTTAACTCATATTATTAATACTGTCGTGCTGGGTGGTCTGTGGAATCCGTTTCGGGTTGGTAATGGGGGTCCTCGTCTTTCCCATATTTCTTTTGCCGATGATTTAATGCTTTTTATGGAGGCTACGGAAGAACAAATTGATGTGTTATTGCATTGCCTGCATTTATTTGAGGAAGTATCTGGGCAGCGTCTTAGTGTTGATAACACAAGTGTTTACTTTTCCAGAAATGCTAGTGAAGATGTAATATCTAGAATCACACAAAAAAGTGGCTTCAAGCGCGTAAGGAACATGGGCAGATACTTAGGATCCATGATGCAGCATGGGAGAGCGTCTAAGGAGTTGTATGCAGGGATCATAGAGAATGTAAGAGATAAGATGAATGCTTGGAATCAACAATCTCTTTCGCAGGCAGGCCGCATCACATTATCTCAGTCGGTTGTGGTTTCCATGCCTTATTTCCAAATGCAAAGTTGTAAGATTCCATTGTCTGTTTGTAATGAGATTGAGAAGTTGCAGAGAAGTTTTATTTGGGGTGATAAGGAAGGAAGGAAAGCTAATCATCTTATTAATTGGAGTACCATTACGAGTCCTAAGGAGGTTGGGGGTCTCGGCTTGAAACGACTGGAATTTATGAATGATGCCATGCTTGCTAAGAGAGTTTGGAGCTTCTCAAACAAACCAGATCATCTTTGGGTTCAGGTTCTGAAATCTAAATATGAATCAAGGAGTTCGAGAGCTGCGGGTTTTGTGGCTTGTAATGGTGACTCTTCCTTGTGGAAGAATATGTGTCGTATTTGGAGGATGATGGAGGGGAGGCTTAGATGGGAAGTTGGTGATGGTAGGATTGTTTCCTTTTGGCATGATAATTGGCTCACTTTGGCGCAGCCTCTTCGTGAGCTAGTCACATCTCCGAATCTGGATGTTAATGATGTCATGTGTGTTGCTGATATGGTTAACTCTAATGGAGATTGGAATTATGATTCTTTAGGCCTTTGGTTCCCGAGAGATGTCATTGATATTTTTCGCGGGACATTAACTCCAGGTGTAAATGATGGTCCTGACAGCAAGTATTGGGATCTTGATGGTGAGAACACCATAACAGTAAGGGCGATCTATAAGGCTCTTGTTGGCCAAGAGTTAATCTCGGGTTTGGCTGATGGTAGATGGCAGTGGGTGTGGGATTGGAATGGTCCTCAAAGAATCAAGTTGTTTATGTGGAAGGTTTGCCACAAAAAGCTCCTCACTCGAAGTAGGACTGCTCTTTGGGGGACTGGCACTGAATCGTGTCCTATTTGTAGGGAGGAGAGTGAAACCTTGTTACATGCAATTCGGGACTGTCATGAGGCTAAGTCCGTTTGGTCTCATTTTGTGCCTTCGGATAAGTTTGCAAACTTCTTCTTTGGTGATGTTGATCATTGGTTATCGGTTAATATGGACATGGATAAGCATGGGATTACGAATGGTTGGAGGAATTTGTTTTTTGTTATTTGTTGGAAAAATTGGAAGTGGCGTAATGAATTGGTGCATGGCTCGGCTTTTCCTTGCTTAAATGTGAGGAAAAGGATTATTTGCAGCTCTGCGAGGGACATTAACAATGCTTTAGCTAGTGCTCAAGAGAGGCTTCCAGTAAAGTTTTCAATGAAGATGGACATTACTTGGCAATATCCAACAGATGGGTCAGTAATAATTAACATAGATGGTGCAGTTAGAGGTAATCCTGGCCTAGCTGCTTGTGGGGGTTTGATTCGTAATTCTCAAGGGAGATGGCTGGGGGGTTTTGCTTACAAATTGGGGATTTGCTCTTCTTTTAAGGCTGAGCTCTGGGGTGTTCTTCGTGGTTTGGAGCTAGCTTGGAACGAAGGATTTCGTAATATAATCATTGAGAGTGATTCATCTAGTGTGATCACTGTGCTCACCAAGTCTGGTGTAGCAGTCCGTGAGTGTCATCTGATTGCTCGTATACAGACATGGATCAATAGGAGTTGGTCAGTTACTTTGATGCATACTTATAGAGAAGGAAACGTGTGCTGATTGGTTAGCGAATTTTATTCTGGATTTGGATGATTTCATTACTTATCAGTTTTGGAGGGATCCTCCTCCTGGCATTCTTCATCTTCTCCGTGGTGACTTTACTGGTGTCAGTAGGTACAGGGAAGTGAGGTGTAGGATTTAGTTTTGGTTTTGGTTGTCTTTGTTGTTCTTTTGGATTAGGCCTTCTGTTTACCAAAAAAAAAAAAAAAAACTTGCATTTATATCATTTTTACGTTTACTGAGATGTGTTTTTATTTATATTTTAATGCATGTAACTTCAATAAAAGTGTGAAAACATTTCTACATTTTTAATTTGTGTTTTTGACAACAATATATGCTTGCAAGTAGAGGTGTAAATGGGTCAGGTTAGGCTAGGCTTTTGACTTCATGACCTAAGCCTATGTAAAAATATGTTGAGTCTATCTAGCCTATTAAAGATTTGGTTTATAGGCCAGACCTGGCCTATTGTTAAAAATAAAAAGCCTAACATGACCTATAAGGTCTTCTAAACCTACCAAATACAACATATTTATAAAAACAATACGAAATCAATAACAAGAATCAAATATATGAAACCAATAACAAGAATAAAATATATGAAACCAATAACAAGAATCAATACTTAATAACATGAATTTAAAGGAAATCTAATCCCTTCTAATATTTAGACCAACATATGAAACCAATAAACCTATATCCAGGTTCTCATTCAAACAAATCTCAAAAGTGCAATATGCCATAACTAAATTAGGATAAATAAATAATATATATGATAAGAGAAAAGTGTGTGTCATTTTAAAGGATGTAAAGTTGTGTCACTTTAAGAGAGAGAAAGAGATAGATAAAAGAGGAGAGAGTTAACAAAAAAAATAAAGGTGTGGGTCCCACCTCTTTGTGAGAGTAAAAGTATATAAGTTGTGTCATTTTAAAAGATAACACTTTTCCCATATGATAAATATATTATTTTATTTTAAAATTTAAACAAGTCGGCTTACAAACTTTTCATAGTTGGCTTGTGCCCTTATTTTTAAATAGACTTTTCTACAAGTCTAAACTTGTTCTATTTTCTTAATAAGCTAGATAGATCAGACCTAACATAAGCCAAATTGTAGGCCAGCCTGACTTAATTATACCCTAAGTTGTAATCATGTATAAATGAAAGATTGGTTTGACTAGGAAAATGTCGGCCAGGTGTACTTGTGATGAGGTTGATATATCATTGAAATGTACGGGTTTGGGTAAATAGCCGGATCTAATTTAATCGAAAACTCCGAAAGAATATTTCAATGACCTATTAATAGCCAGATCAGTTTGAGGATATGAAATAAAGAATTAGTGTCTTCGTAAGAAATAAATATTTGTATTAGTGATGCATCCTCCATGAGGAAGGGTTCAACATATGGCTTCTACAGGTTATGTATGATTTGGTGCTTAAGGCTTTGTTTGGGAGTTGGTTTTAGAAGGGGATGGAAAGAAAAAGAAAGGGAGGGTTTTAGTAAACCCTTCCCTTGTTTGTGAGTTTAAAAAAAGGGAGGAAAGAATTTGGGAATTTTTACTAATCCCTCCAAAATCCTCATTCTTCTTAAAATTAAAGTTTCCCCAATCTAAAGGGTTTGAGGGAAAAAATATTCAAAATTACTTATCTACTCTTAGCATTAAATGTTAAAACTACGTAATTGTGAATCATTTTTAAATGCGATATTATTAGAAAAGTCTCAAATATCGACAGAATTTATTGACGAAAAATATTTCGTCAAAAATGGTAATGAAATTTTTGATGCAAATCATATACGTCAAAAAATTTCCGTCAAAACTAAAGACAAAATTAGAGACGGAACCAGATTTAATAATCACTAATATAAATTTTGTACGAAAAAAAATACAGTCAGAATTATTGATAGAATCTAAATTCCGTCAAAACTCTTAACGAAAATATTTCCGTCCAAAATTTTGACGAAACACATTTCCATCGAAAAGTTTCAACATAAAACAATTACGTCAAAAAATTTTACAAAAAATATTTCCATCAAAATTTTGACAAAAAATATTTCCATCAAAATTTGTGACTAAAAATATTTCTGTAAAAAAATTTGATTGAAAATTTTTTTGTCAAAATTATTTACGGAATCTAAATTTTGCCAAAATATTTCACAAAAAAACATATTCATCGAAATTTTTGACGAAAAATATTTTCATCAAAATTCTTAACAGAATTTAAATTTCGCCGAAAGTTTTCGACGAAAAAATTTTCGTTTAACTTGTTGGCAAAAAAAATTTCTGTCGAAATTTACAACGAAACACATTTTCATCGAAAATTTTTGACAGAAAATATTCCCGTTAAGTTTTTTGATAGAAAAACATTTCCATCAAAATTTTCAACGGAACGCATTTCTGTAAAAAAATTCGACAGAAAATATTTTCGTAAAAATTTTTGACGAAAAATATTTTGACATAAATTTTGACGAAAAAAATATTCTGTCAAAATTCTTTACATAATCTAAATTTCGTCGAAAGTTTCGAATGAAACATTTTTCTCAAAATTTCTAACAAAACAATTTCTGTCGAAATTTTCGTCAGAACATATTTCCATCGAAATTTTGAACGAAAAACGTTCCGTCAAAATTTTTGACAGAATTCTTTTTTCATTTAAAATATTTGATGGAAACTAAATTTCGTCGAAAATTTCAATAGAAAATTTATTTTTGTAAAAATTTTCATCGGTTGAAAAATTCCTTCGCTTTTCGACGAAAAGTATTCCGACGAAAAAAATAATTGTGATGAAATTTTTATCGTTTGCAACGTAGAAATTTCATCGAAAATATGATCTTTTTTGGTGTTGTGAAAAGTACATACATAATTTTGTTAGAAATTTTAAGTTTAATTTAATTTGTAAAATATAATAATTATATTAATTTAAAAAAAAGGTAAAATGGTAAAAATATCTCATTAATCCTCAATTTTCCTCTTTCACCATTTTTTTAACTCACAAACAAAGGAAGGGAATACCCTTCAATTTTCTTCCATTCCTTGCCCTCGAATCCCCTTTATTCTCCTTCTGTCCAAACTCTCAAACAAAGCCTAGGAGTTCAACACTTATATATGCGCATGTGAGATATGTTACATAGTTGATGTAAAATATATTGAATATGATGAATCCGGGCATGTATACTAGCCATTCCATAATCATGACATAATTTATAATGTCATGCTGGAGATAAACAAAGTCAACCCTTTGTTTCAAAAAACAAAAGTCAACCCTTTGTAGGTGACGAATTGTGGTGATAAAATAGAGATTATTTATTTGTAAAGTAGAGCAGCCATATCCTTTATTATTCTGTGTTCTCCAAGTTGTTGGTAAGAGTTTGCTACGGCTGATTTTTTCTACGCTATCTACAGCAATAAATAAGAGGAAAGGACCACCGGTGTTCCCTTCTCAATAAGGTGCACCCTAACCGTGCCTTCTGCCCATACACTTCTAAAATTTAAGAACAAAATATGCAGATGATAAATAATTTTTTAATAGGACTTTAAGAGAGCTTCTTTATACGTACGTTTTCATGTGTATATCAAGCACGACCAGTGGGACTCCGATCCACAATCGCCTGAGTAGAAGTCAGCGCCATATAATAAGTTATTATATATTAAGTATCAAAAGGGATAACTTTAGTCATACCACTGAAAAAATAAATAAAATGAGAGACGATATATCTCTTGATATTAAAATACAACATATTAAATTATATCGGTTGAAAGATTTTTCTTATTCAATTAGGAATCGAATACGTAAAAATTTTCCTCCTTTTCTTTTAATGCTCTCGGTTTCTATTTGTTTGACTTAGTTTATACTACTAAAAAAACTGGTATTATGGATGGACAAATTCCGTCGCTAAAAGTCATAAATCTGTCCCTAAATTATTTAGGGACAGAATTTGAGACGGAACAAATTTTGTCCCTAAATCGCTCCTCGCTAATTTTTTGGGACGGAATTTTAGTTCCGTCCCTGACATGTGTTTTCCGTCCCTACTGTTGTCAACAATTGAGAATTGTAAAAGGTAGGAATCCGTTCCTAATAGGGACAGAATTAGGGAAGAATTTTGTGTCCCTATTAGGGACAGATTTTGTCCATCCGTATTAGGGACAGATTTTGTCCGTCCCTATTAGGGACGAAATTTATCTGTCCCTATTAGGGACAAATTTTGTCCATCCCTAATCTTATCCCTACTTTCAAAATATTATAGACAGAATTTTTCTGTCCCTAATTCCATCCCTACTTTCAAAATATATTTAATAAAATATTTTAAATTTTTTTTAACAAAATTTATATCTGATAATCGTCATAATATAAATCATCAAAGTCATATAACCAATCAAAGCTGGTTTGAAACTTATAATAATTATAACCACACAAGCCATCATAGTCATAATTATATAGCTAAAAAGTATTAATGATAAAAAGTATCATAAAAGCAAAAATAACAAATGTATCAAACTACAATATCAACTAATAAGTATTGCTCACAAAATGTATTAAAAGATCATAAAATAACTATCAATTATCTTCGTGTAACTAAGCATCATAGACATCATCTTTCGCATCATCACCAACTTGAACCTCATTGTATGTCTCACGAGCAGGAGGTGTAGCATAAAGACATGAGCCATCAAAATCTTCAGCTGCTCTTTCATAACAGCCATCTTTGTTTGCAATTCTTGATTTTGGGTGGATATGGTTGTCACTAGCTCTCTCATACGATTATACTCATTTGCAAAAACTCTTTGAGACGAACTAGAAAATTTTTGTGAAGCCTTGTATTTACTCGCCTCTACACCTAAACCAAAAATGCGGCCCTTTTTACTCATACCTCCAACAGTCTGCATGAATAATTCATTATCAGATTGGCCAGTAGATGCATCATTTCCAATCACCATATCACGTTCATTCTTCCACTCAAAGAATTTATCCTGAAAATAAACAAATTACAATAGTCATCAATACATGT